TACCGAATCTCGTTCAATGCTATCTATCCTATTCAACACGGGCCCGCTCTCAGCTAGTTACAATCCAGACCAAGGAACTACAGACGAAAAGGAAACTCCAGCAATAAGTTACCTCGTCAATTCCACCAGCGCCGAAGACTTGCTCAACTCTCGTCACACAATGGGACAACGTGCCTACTGCTTTGAGATGTCAAGACAAGACGCGCTATTGGGCGTAGAAGAGAGCAAGGACGGGCCTTTTTTCACAAACTGTGAAAACCCTTTCCTGTGTAAGAGAATGAGCTTATCCGCATCTAAACTCCTCCTCCTACGCTTGGGCGACAAACTTCAGTTCCCAGCACTAAACGCCTTGCAACATGAGAAAAGATGGAAAAAATGTACGTTATACGTTGGGATTCCCCCGTTCTGGCGCGTCAAGAGACTTCACGTGACCTCCTGGAACATCCTAGACGTAATCATTATTGGGCTGCGGTCCTGTGTTGGACTAGCGCCAATTTTCCTCATTCTGGTCTTTTTCTGTCAATCATAGGGCGCGTTCACACTTCGCGATCCGATCGCTTGGTTCGCGCGATCCATTCGCTCGTCGAGCTGGAAGGTTGTGCGATTCAAGCGATCGGATCGCGAAGTATGAACGCACATTCACATGATATGACTTCGCATAGTTACCTAGAGGATTGTTTTCAGTTTCGAAACATCCAGTTTCAATGCTCATGGAGTTGTGTGCAAAACGTAAGTGGCCAGCGCCAACTTTCATTAGCGATGAAAGAGGTCCAACGAATAATCGGGAATTCCGCTGTACGGTAAGGATTGGCTTTTTATATGATTTGAATTTGTCTCATAACCCTTAAAGAAGCATGAGTTCGAATTTGAAGGTTATTGTAAATGGTAAAGAGTATCAATCGAATGCTGTCTCTCGCAGTAAGAAGGACGCGAAATCTGTAGCATGTCAGGTGAGTGTATTTTTGATTAAGAGCAAATGTAGAAAAGTCCGCAGTGTGTTGAGAGGAAAGGGAAAAGGTTTAATTTTCAGGTAGTTCTACAATCTCTAGGCCTTGTACCTCTTGATCCAACGTTACCGGTCATTATTTAAGACTTTTTTCCATAGTCCATGTCGTTACGGTTCTTAGTTTGTGTTGTTTCAAATGTTCCCTCTATTTCCATTGGGGCCCTCCACCATCCTTTTATGTCCCATTGCTTTCGTGTTGTGTATAGTTGAACAACTTTGTCCACTTTTTTGTTTCGTGATTTTTGGAAATCTATTGCACAGATCGTGCTCAATCAGCCCTCCTATATTTATTGAGTTGAATAAAGGTTTTTCTACGTTTTTTCATTAAAAAGTAGTATAATGTGGCGTGCTGTGTCGCTGCAGTGATCCCCTGCTCCGGATTATTCGAATTTGCCATAGTCCCGAATGAGTGGGAGACTGAGGCTACGTACATACTTTGCGTTAGCGTCCACCAGCGTTTCGCATGTACGCCAGCCACTAGGAAAGGGTAGATATCGATCTGGCGAAGGTCAGCGTCCACAGCGTACGGCAGTGTTTTCGCGGGCAGTTTTGCTCGAGTTCAAGGGTGCCCGCGAAAACGCTGCTGTACACTGGTGGGCGCTGACGTTCGCTAGATCGATATCTATACTTTCCTAGTCGCTGGTGGATGCGACGCAAAGTATGAACGCATCCTAATGTTCAGCTTGGAGGGGGCAATCT